AATACATTGTGTGTGTGTGTGTGTGTGTGTGTGTGTGTGTGTGTGTGTGTGTTGTGTTGCCATTGGACTCTGACCCTCCACGTTGGATGCTGGCACAGTCAATAGGGGGAGGATAGGGCTTTGTGTTGTAGATTTACAACAATAAGAGGTTGCACAATTCTGAAAGAATTCTGTGTTGTTCAGAGCTCCATCAAAAGAAGTAAGCAATTTTAAATAGAATCAAATAAGAATGCATTTGTTTGCCTCTCTCCCATCACATTTGTCATGCATGTTTCTCACAGCCTTTTTTTCGATTTTAGAGTTAACATCAGGAAGGTGCAGTTTCATTGCAAGCGTTGACAAGTAAAAAGAATAAGAACAATAGTCTGCCTCTAGTAGGAGACGAAACCGTGACAGGACCCAGGACATGTTAAGACACGGTAGATGAACTCAAAATCCTAGTTGCCTCCTGGGAAAAAAAGCAGCACACGTCCCACTGTGGCTTGTGACAACAGTAGAGGAACTACTGTATATTGTTTATGTAGTAATCATACTTTCAGTATTAGTATTTTCAGGATGGCCTGTTGTAGAAATATACTTTTCTTGTGATTAGCTTTCTTGTAGATTTACAAAAGAATACAAATACTGGTCAAATTTATATTTTCCAGATTCATCCATTTATTTTTTGATAACTTACAGAAATTACAAAAACAGTTACAGTTTCCAACTTCACAACACACAATAAAAACTAAGTATGTACATGTTTGACAAGTGCAGAGGTTCAATATTTGCACCTCGCAATAAATATTATGTTGTATTTGGTTTACAGTACAATTCACATATTTAAATTATTTTATTTCATGCTTCAAACAGAGGTAGACCAAACAAGGCCGGTATCTTGGTGATGGTGGAGCAGGTGTGGAGGTTGACTTAGTTGGCATTGACAAATGATTGGTAGAGGGACATGAGCTGGGCCTGGAGGTCCTGGGCATAGGGGTCCAGCTTTTCCCTCAGGTCCTCAGCGTAGGGGGCCACCATTTGTTTCACCACATTTGCTCTCTGACTCAGCTCAACCTGGACTTTATCGGTCATGGGGGCCACGCTATTCTGGAAGTCCTGCAGGTGCTGGTCCACCTTCTGCTTCAAGTCATCAGTGTAGGGTCCCAGCTGAGCCTGCAGATCCTTCACACTCTGCTCCAGGTTGGTCTTCAGCTCCTCGCTCTTCTGCATCAAGGTGGTCCTCAGGGCCTCGGAGTCCAGGGAGTCTGCGTAGGGAGCAAGCTCCAGTTTGAGCTGCTCCACTCTCTGCTGGATCTGGGCCTTCATGTCCTCAGTGTAGGGCTCCAGCTTATCCCTGACGGTGCTCAGCTCCTGGGTCACTCGTTCTCTCAGCACATCAGCCTCTGTGGTGACTTTGGTGATCAGGTCCTGGGCTGCAGGGGGAAGCTGCTCCTGCAGGGAAACTGCATATGTGCTGGCCATGTCGGCACTCTCTGTCAGACGGGCACTAGAAGACAGACAAGTTTGTTAGACCACAAGGGGTTTGTGTAATACCAATCTTAATCACCATGTGACACATGCCACTAATAGGCCACCATGGTCCTTTGTGTCACACAACTTACTTGACTTCCTGTCCAAATTGTGATTTCCTGATCATTTGGAGGGTGTCATCAGCTGTCTGGGTGGCCTTGGCAATGTAGTCCCAAAATGCATCAGTCAGCACTTCCAGTTGTGGCTTGGGTGCATCAGCATAGAAGAGGTTGGCTTGACAGCCTGTTGGATGGACACAAGAAACAGCTTGAGAACAGAGCAGATTTTCAGCCATCCTGTTTATTTTGATTGCTGCTAGTTGCTGAAACAATGCTACATACTATAGCTTTGATTGAGCTATATAGAAAAGACATTTAATAGTTAAAAAAAAAAGTTTGTAACTTACCAGACAGCACTGCAATGGCTAGTACCATGAACACCTTCATGACTATGGCTTGCTGAAAAACAAATAGGCACTCATTAACTTTCAAGCTGCATTAAAAAAATTAAACCTAAAGTTTTGCTTTGAAATGTAGTACAATTCTCACCTGCGGTTGGCTTGTGTATTTCTGACCGTTGAGCGTGTTTGTGAGTGTGTCAGACTGGTGCTTCCATGTATATATACTGAAGCCAGGTGACAGTCATGAGCCAAAGTCCATGAGTCCCTGCCATGTTGTCAAAATGGTTTTCTTCCGGTTTCTGCTGCTCTCCTGGCTACTATCACAGGACCGCTGAAACTACAGTACAGACAAACAGACACAATCTTTACATTATTGTGACTTAATGTGACGTCTAGGAATGTCCTAACAATAAAACCTATCTTACTCAAGAAATCTTGCAGTAGTTCTCTGAACCCTCTCTAGAAAGCATTTAGGATATAGTAACTAACTGTCCACGTAGCCCTGTGCTAACAGCCTTTAGATAACTCCAGATAACCCTGGTATGCTTACACTAGTGGACTTTGTATTAGTTCAAGCAACATGAATAAAATAGCTCCAGGCACTAAAATGATGGGGTTTATTTATAGTGAATCAGTCTCTTTCTTCTCAAGTTAAAAAAGTGCTCTATTTCCCTGACCCAGTCCATCTTACTGGAACTCATGGCAGATGGTTAACATTAATTTCAGAGAAACAAGAAGATGGGAGATGGCTATTTATCACAGTGTTATAACAATCTTTTGAAGAAGGTGGCATATATAGATATGGACTGTGAGGAGTTGCCAGTCAGAAATAATTTCTTCCAATTTCTACACTATTAAATTCAAGGATGAGGACATTTAAGCATTATCTAGCTTTGTTATCTTGCACATTGCAGATATTCTTTATATTTAATACTGTGCTCTTTTGTACATTATCCAAACAATATTTGCAAATCCCTGCACAAATGGTACAGCTTCCATTTAAATTAATGTCATATTGTTCACGTTGTCTTATATTTTTTCGTATGTTATTGTCAATTTTCTATTTTTCTATTCATCCTTCTTGACTTTCAGGACTTGCTTTCATCTTTATTTATATTTTTCTGTTACTATGTTTATTGTTATGCACCAATATCAGATAATCAGATACTGAAGTTTATTGAAAAACAGTAAATGTTTGAACAGAAAAACATGTTCAATTTAATCAATCAAATTAATAATGTGCAAGAAGCAACAAAATAAAGGCTAAAATCTGATCTTCTATACACAACCTAAACATCCTGACAGTGAGGAAGAAACAGTTTTCAGATTCAGGGTCATGTGTTTCTTTATTTTATAGCAGTGAAACAGTGTTAAAAATTCTGACAAAATAATCTCTGAAACCCCAAAAATAACTCGCCCTAGTATCTATCACATTTTCTTTTTTTGTATCTCATTCATACTTAATAGAGATATGAAAAGTCAATGTGACACCTTTGGAAATATAACTATCAGCAGAATTCTATAGCAGGTGCTGCCATGGCCATCACTAGGATTTTTCTCTCTCCTGGTGCTATGTCCCTCATAGCACCAGGACCAATACAAGTGGTGGCAAATAGTAGATTTTCATGACTTCACAGTTACTTTACAGTTACTTAATGTTGGATTCAAAGATGGTGGGTTTTCAGGCATTTTGCCAACGGTTTGTTGACACTTCATATTGTTGAGGATATCACTGGCACGGAATTAGAAGCTAGAGGATGACATGAATGAATATTCCCATTTGGTTGCTCATTTGGTTTAATCAATATCGTCAATGCGATTTAACACCAGCAACTCATTTACTATTGAGCTAGCTGTTTATTTGACACTTTTTAAAAATTAAATATTTACTATGTTACTATATAAATGGTGATTATATTGACAAATAGTATAATAATAATATTAACTTTCTGATATTTAGTTTCTTTCTGACATGAGTAACTTATTATACAGCTAATCATAGATCATTTTGCAGATTCCTTGTCAGTGTACTAACTCATCATTTACAACCTGAGTATTGTTTATGGTAATGCATCTTTTTTCTGATTTGTAATCACTATCATTGAATTTGTTGTCCAATACTGTTGTCACAGTATCACCATTGCTTCCAGTAAAAACCTCCAAGGCGCTCAGCTGCTGTTTTTAACCTTTATTGGATTATTCATGGTGATACCCACTGGTAATGTTTTTAGATGTTTATCATCAGCATTAAAATCAAATAGTGGTCTTTCAAAAACTGCAATAGCAGGTTAATTTGCATGGCTTAAAACCTTCAAACCCATACAAATCACTGAAAGGAATACTTTGAATAAGTTTATAATACATTTACCAACCTACTTAATAATAATAGGTAACAAGTTGTCTGTCAGACTCTCAGGGTGAAAGGATCTAAATATTTTCAATAAAATATTCTACTTTCAAGCCTCAGATATTTCCTTGTCTAAAAGAAAAATGGGGACAAAATTCAACACAAAGAAAAATAAATTAAACTGCTGTTCTTTTGGTTTCAGAGAATTGGACTATGGTTTGTGTGATGTGAAATAGCAGCTACTTTGTCCTTTCGAAGCTGACAGTGTGAGTCTGCTAACCCTTGGCCAGACTAACCCTTAGGGATTGTTGAACATTGGCATGACACAGAAACCATAAGTTACTGTGATGTTGGCTGGAAAATGCCAAGTTAATAGAGACAATAAAACACTGACTGTATATCTAATCAAAGCCGGACATCAAAGAAACTAAGGAGAGAGGTTTTGTCTGCCTTGGCAGAAAGTTATCTGTAGCTAAGAACAGACAGACAGGGTTCATTTAAGGATAAATTTATGGATTTTGTCACACTCAACACACAACACTGATGAATCGCAGACACATTTAGGCCATAAATTAATGTAGAAATAATCATGTTTTGAAATAATAATGTATATCTGGCAGATGATCACTGGATTAAAAGGGTTATGTACTCAGCCTGTATGTGAATTGATGCAACAGTATCGACTTGGCTGCGCAAAATGTCCAGAGGACAGCAGGGTGAGGCAAGGTGACAGCAAGGCACTACAACTTGGACTTTGGGATTATTACTGTCTCGCTTGCTATATAAGCTGCAGCACCTCACCAGCTCAACACAAGCGCTGCCAAGTGGACTTGCAGATACACTCAGCAAACTCAGGTAAGAAGATGAAGAACTGGCTCAGCCTAGTAGTTGACGTTTTCATTTCAGAAATACTTCTTAGTGAATGTGCTGTTCTAACAAGCTTTGTATCTTTTTTTCATAAGGTCGAAGAACCATGAAGGTCCTTGTTGTGCTCGTCCTTGCCGTTTTCAGTGGTGAGTATGATGGCAAAATATAATTTTTCTTTTTTGGAGCCTTTCTACTAATATACTCAAGATAAACAAGCCTTGCCTCTAAGGGGTACATATGTCTCAGATTAGGCTGATAAAATGTCAAACTGCTGTTTAAACTTTACTTGTTTCCATCCAACAGGCTGTCAAGCCAACCTCTTCTATGCTGATGCACCCAAGCCACAGCTGGAAGTGATGACTGATGCATTCTGGGACTATGTTGGCAAAGCCACCCAGACAGCTGATGATACCCTCCAGATGATCAGGAAATCTCAGTTTGGACAGGATGTGAGGTAGGTCAGACAATACCATTGTGACCAACATTAAATTTCTCCTAATTAAAATATGAACAAAACTTTATGTCATTGTTTACTCTCTTGTCTAGTGCCCGTCTGACAGAGAGTGCCGACATGGCCAGCACATATGCAGTTTCCCTGCAGGAGCAGCTTCCCCCTGTAGCCCAGGACCTGATCACCAAAGTCACCACAGAGGCTGATGTGCTGAGAGAGCGTGTGACCCAGGAGCTGAACACCGCCAAGGACAAGCTGGAGCCCTACACCGAGGACATGAAGGCCCAGATTCAGCAGAGAGTGGAGCAGCTTAAACAGGAGCTGGCCCCCTACGCAGAATCCGTGGACTCTGAGGCCCTGAGGACCACCTTGATGCAGAAGAGTGAGGAGCTGAAGACCAGCCTGGAGCAGAGTATGAAGGACCTGCAGGCTCAGCTGGGACCCTACACTGATGACCTGAAGCAGAAGGTGGACCAGCACCTGGTGGACTTCAAGGAGAGTCTTGTGCCCGTGACCGAGAGAGTCCAGAGTGAGCTGACTCGGGGAGCCCAGCAGGTGAAAGAAATCGCTGCCCCCTACGTTGATGATCTGAGGGAAAGGCTGGACCCCTATGCCCAGGACCTCCAGGCTCGTCTCACCTCCCTCTATGAGTCCTTCACCAAAGCCAACTAAGTCAACCTCCACCACAAGTTAAACAGAAAGAAACTGCATCCAATGAAACTAATTCTCTGATCCCACCCAGGAACACGTCCATATTGTTAACAGTACAACCAGTTTTGAAAGTTCAAAATGTCTTTAGATATATTTAAAGTATTAAAACAATAGATAAATAATAAATATTGAGTGTTGGTCTGTGACCACACACTGTGTTCTCTTCCTATATTATGGAAATAAAGCAAAACCAAAACATAACCTTGTCAGTTTGCTGCTACTGATGTCATTTATACAGTCCTGGTGAAATTTTAAATGAATGTTGGCAAGGTTTAAAGTTTTTTCTGGCAAACGAAGGCAAGTAAAAAATAAATAAATACGAAAAATGAAAAACTAATTGTGGTGTCTGAAACTAGAAACAGTGTCTCCAATGTGATTACTCACACCTACATTCTTAAATGGTTTGATCAGCTAAATCAACTTCAAAACAAGTATATTTTTTTCACTATGCTAATATATACATATTCTCACAATCATTTTCTTTCGAACTGCTTCACAAATGTCCAATACATAAAAAAAAACATAAAAACTTGACTTGAATCTCTGAAAATAATTAGCGCCATCTGGTGAACATATAGAGCATATATTCATGTGCAACACAGCGGCCAGCCATTTCTGATGTATGGATTTATATTTATAAGAAACTATTTTTATTATCTCCACACAAAAAATCAGTGGAGAATAGAGCCTTTCTTGTTTGTTCCGTGTCTGATTGCAAAATCTCACCCCCCAGCCACGCACCTGTACAATGCAGTTGTGGGTCTTGGACGGGGCATGTTCAGGTTTGTCTCTGCAAGTCTGGAAGTTCATAAACACATCCTGCTTCACCTTGTTTTTTTATTTTTCCTTTTGTGCCTCCATCCCTTCTGCCAGATCGCTGCCTTACCCAGTGGCAAACAACATTCCTCTGTTCTGCCCCCAGCTGTCACAGACTATGCTCACCATTAACCCTCCAAGCACACACACAGCTCTGATTTCTTTTTATGTCCGATTATGTGAATGTTTTAGGTATATTCTGAATGTCCATGTTTTAAAGTTAAAAGCCATAATAGCTTTTCTTTATGTATTGCTATAAATGCTTACAGGGCTTCACTTTTTCTCCTTCCTTTTCATTTTCTTGTTCTACACTATTACAATTATTTTGTTTTCTTCATCATATACCCTTCTGATAAATTAGTATATCTAGGGAGGTGTAGAAGAAAATGGATTTATTCAAACAAAGACTTCTTCCACAGAGTTACATGTTTTTGTAACTGTTGAAGCAGACTGGCCAGACTATTGCAGAGTCTTGACTTAAAAAAAACTTTTACATGCTTTTGATAAGTTACATAACTGAGGCAGTCATTATCATCCTTACTCTGTATCCCTGAATGAATCAGTTACGTTTCATCTCATATTTTCAGCTGCAAGAAAATGTATTAAAATAAATATATTACCAAAATACCTCCACATTTTAGGGAAATGTGCTTGTTGGCTTGGCCTTTTCTTTTAAAAGACAGAAGGAGCTAAGCTTGCTGTTTCAGTCTGTGCCCCTGCTTTCAGCCTTTGTGCTAAGCTAAGCTACTCCTGGCTTTAGCTTCGTGAACCAAGTGGCAACCTCCTGGGTTAAATAGATTAAACATCTTTGGACAGTCAGTGTCAGTAATTACAAAACACATTAACAGCTTCTTTGACAACATAAGACATTCAGGGAATTTCCCGCAATGAGTGTAAAACACTCACTATTGTATATTTTATGACTTAAAGATGTAATTAGTTGGATTGAAGCATTGCATTACTTGCATTTCTTAAACTAAAGTCCTCAACAAGTATGTACTTCACACCAGCATGGCCGAAGGAGACCGTCAATCTCAATAGCTTTTCTTGGCAAGCACAACGACTTTCAGCTAATTATACAATTACCCGTTGACATGAGATGATGAGAGCTTTTGCTGTAATATGAGCGTAACATCAATGAAAATTGCATTTTACTGTACTTGATGATTCTGTGTCTATGAGGACGCTGAGTTGCACTTTTAAAACTTAACAAATGTCTCAACCAAATGGCAACCTCTGTGGCCTGCAAATGTAGCCAACACTGGAATGCCAAAAACTGCGGTTCCTCAAATGGCCACTTGAGACTGGGAACAACCCCCATGAGAAATTGCCAAGCTTCACAGCAGAAATGAACAATGTTTACAACCTGGTTCAAAAAACGGTTTTGGTCTCTATAGCCAATTTCAGAATCAGAATCAGATTCAGAAATACTTTATTGATCCCTGGGGGAAATTTTGTTTCTCTGTTTATGACAACTGTACAGGGTGAATTTTTTATACAAGTCCCCCGTTTAAGTTGTTTTGGTTTAAATTTATTCATAATCAAGGGTATGACCTCTTTGAGTGACAGGTGGGTGCTATCACAGGCGGATAGTTTCAGAAACAAGGCTTCATTCAGCCCACCTCAACTCCACGCACACTATTGGCGACGTCACGGAGACTACATTCATGTTTAATGCAGTCTATGGATGGAACATACAAAAAATGAGAGTAGGATCAATCTTATCCTTCAACCAGACAGCGAATAAGCGTATTTCCTAAAATGGCGAGCTAATCCTTTAATTAGATGTAATTTACACCAAATGAATACGGTTGCCTAACAATCAGGTTGCGGCACACACATAAACTCATTATTAGACACTAATATGCCCTTTATCTTAAAAAGCTAACTACACCATGATCCCCTCACTCTGTGCATCGTACAGCAAATGACAGCAGCCAGGAATCTGACTCAAGGTTACTTTAGTTGATAGATATGCATTAGCTGCCGCATGCTTCAAGCCTTCACTACAGTGCCATTTCAGCAGCCACTCTCAGACATTTGGCTCTTTCGGCACACATCCTCATCAGCTGATACCACTCTGACTCAGAGCCAGATGATGGGGGGGATGAGTTGCCGAAAAAACACTAAATTCTGAACTTGAACATTTAGTTCAACAACTTTTAACCCACAGACGTTAACTGTAATAACCTCGCTGACTCGTCTAAACAGATGTTTCCCTTTTCAGAGAGGTGAGATCATCCAGACCTAACCAAAAACCAAATTCTTCAAACCAACTTCCAGAGAACAACATCAGGCTGGGGTTACTGTCGTTCACACTATTTCATAAAGATGTCCTTACACACTCCCTTGCCTGAGCGACATTGGACATTGCCTCCGTTGTTATGGAGCAAAAGGAGAAGCAGCTGTAGTTTTGACTGTGTCAGATATTTTACTGTATTACCTCATGGTTGATTCTCTCTGTTTCACTTCCCCCGTCTGTCCAGAGGGCACGGCACTGTGGTTTTGTGTGTTCTGGCCTGTGACCTCTGTTGGTACATGTGTCTAGTTTGGTCACTGTAGTCCATCACCTCTGCATAATAAAAACAATATATAGAGTTTATAGTTGAATCATTCTCCATACTGTAAATACATCTTAGTAGCTATTGTAGTCGAATGTTTCACACAAGACATTAAATGTGTTCCACAAATGTGATAGAATAGAAAAAGAAAATCCTTGAATGTGTAAAAGCAGAAAGTGTTTGGGTGACAATGTTTTATGCAGAATAATGGGATTAAATGACTGATCTTGATTTGTTTGCCTGTTTGAACTGGACCGGACTTGTTATCTGGCTAATTTGGTGTGTGACACACCTTCTGCAGCCACACACACATATGACACACTACTGTTGTGGAATGCCTAGGTCAAAGGTCTTTTGTCTTTGACAGAAAAGTGACACCTACAACACTGTTTCATCCCATTGTTGATTGTTTTTTTTTAATCATCATTTAAACAAAGAACATTTTCCTTCATTACAAGATAGTTGAACAATACAATGGGCAGGGTCTCCCAGTCACTTAACACATAGCTGACCCCTCTGGGTTATCACACACTAATGTTATCATGTTCTCACACTAATTACCTGACTAAGCCTGCCCATTTAAACTTTGTTCCTGTGTAAAGTTGGATTTCTGTGAAAAACGACAAAGAATGAAATCTGTTGGGCTGACAACAAAGAGGCCAAGTCCTAAAGACCAAAGGTCATTACACATGGGCAGCAATTGAGTCAGAGTTTACTTCATATCTAAAATCACTGATATGTCATGACATGTAGGCTATAGCCTTGCAAATTATAGGTGATTTGTAAAATTATGACGTTTTCTTTAAAATGAGTTGGTTTACAGTTATTTTGCCACGTGAAAATACTAAACATAACTGGTAAAGTATGACAGAGAAGTTACACAATGTTTTCCCTACTTTTATGTGGGGGCCTCTTGGCCGATGATGGTAACATACTAGAATACATTTACAGAGAGGTGACTGAATGTAACAGCATGTAGAGCCCTCAGTGGGCAATAATACACCAACTAAGATCTCTGCTGCTTCGATATTAAACAATTTTTTCTACATGATAGCTACAAACGTACCTTTACACAAGTAATTAAATCACTTGTAAGTTATTGTGGTGGACTAATAAAAATATAGCACTACAAAATACTATAAATAAAATAAATACACAGATTTGTTTATTGCTTAACCAATAGCTTTTAGTCATTATTTTGGCTTGAATTCAGTTTTGTTTTGATTTGTTGTCACTGGTAAAGCTTTAAGTAAGAATAGAGAAGTATGTGTTTGATTCCCTGTCTTGTTATGATTAAAATGAAAGTAACAGGTCTGTTTGATGGAGGGGGCAAGTAGTCATTTGGGGTTGGCAGTTATGTTCTGCTACTAAACAAACATGTGTTGCTCAATAAGCTGGGGAAAACACTTTCTTTTGGCATCAAACATCCCTTTCCAAAATTTCAAAATCCTGGGAAATTCTTGGAAGTTCTACTAAAAGATAAAAACAGTCTGTTTTTTTGTTCAGTTGTTGTATATGTAATAAAATAGTTGGTGTTCTCTGTATTTTGTTACCTGTAATCCTGTAATTGTACAGTGGGCTTGTTGTATCTGATTGCCCTCAAGCCTGAACATGCCCTTCTTGTAGTGCTGACATCTTATTTGCACTTAAGGCACTTGTAATGTATAGCTCTATGTTATGCAGCGGTACAGTACATAGAAAATTGAATCTGGTGCATATGATCCGTATAAAGAAAGTTCACATGTGCAATATTCAACATTTGAAATACGAGAGTGCGGGTTGTCATGTAAAGAGGCCATATGTGCCGGTGGGGGTTGTGTGTCTGTAGGGGGCGGATTAGTGGAGTGTCAATGGTCAGCAATGGCAGAAAATTTAGACTGAAATGCATGTGTGAAAGACTCATTTACATCCCAGTGCCAGGAGGATTTTTATTCAAATAAGACCACTTGATGATAATGATCAGAGAAAACCCTGTGAAGTCAGTTAACACCACCACGTAAAAAATAAAGGTAAAGTACAGTAAAAGCACAAAGTTAGCAGCAACATATACTATATAAGATATCATTTCCAAACAGTTAAGAATTTAATGATTTCACCAGCTGAACCACAATCCTTGGTACATACTTTAAAGATGTTGCTAAATCTATAATTAATAATAACATAATAATAATAATTAATATAAAGTTAATTTTGTTTTACATGTAAGATCTGAATCTGATAAATACTTCAGCCTTCTGATAAATGTAAAAGGTATGTTTTTCACTGCAGTGGAATATAAGCAGTGGTAACGTTTACTCAAGTATTGTTCTGAAGTAGGCTACATATTCAAGGTAGCTATAGTTTACTTGACTGTTTGATAGTACTTTATACTTCTTCTCCACTACACTTCAGCAGGAAATATTGTGCTTTATAGTCTACTGCACTATCTTTATTTCTTTATTTTCCATTCATGGTTAGTATATGCCTATAATGTATTGTTATGGATTGTTATAATTTGAGCAAGCAAGTGTTTAAAATAGTTCGAAGTAGCTTCATTTCCACCAGCTTTTACTTGTATTTTACATTGTAGTGTGACTACTTTAGGTAAAATATCTGAATATCGCTACTATTACCACCTCTGAGTATAGGGATAAAGTAGGCATAACATATAGCCTAAAGCAAAGACTTATATTGATTGAATCAGATTGAAAATGCTACTTTCAAGTAACACCAGGGAAGGCTCTGTGTTGTAAAATCTTTGCAAACTGTATTAGAAACATGAAAACAACCAAATATTTATCCGTGACCCTGAACGTTTCACCCTGTCTTTCAGTCACATTGCTCAACCAACAATGCAAACCTTATGAGAACTTCGGACGTGATGTTGGTGGCACGTTGCGTGGACAGAAACAGGAATCCGTGCAACCGACAACAATCATCATCACCACGTGAAGGCGTGCGCACGCGAGCAACACCCCCGCTCCGTGCGCGCACACGCGCAGCAGCAGCAGCCTCCTGGGACTGTATAAAAGCCCTCAGTCTCCGTTCGGGGAGCACGGAGAAGGCTCAACCTCTCAGGTGAGTGAGAAGGCTGCACAGCGCGCAGAGAGACCAAATGTCTTCTTATTTAATGCCAGCTGACAGAAACTACTTTAGTTTAGTTTATCTATATTACATTTGTTCTGCTGATTTTTTGATTTTTATTACCTAAATGTACTTTTTATTAATGCTCTGTTATTGGTTTTTTTTTCATTTTAACATTGGTAGCTTAAACTGTATAGCTATATAAATAGGTAAAAAATATCTGCTACATCTGTTTTATTACTGAATTATATTACTGATTGCTTACCTCTTCAATTCACAGGTGTATCTGTCTGTCTGTCCAGCAATCATGAAGGCTGTATCTCTGATTCTTGCTCTGGCAGTCATCACCGGTAAGTCCACTGCTGGTCTAGGATTTACTATGATCAATTTTTATTAGATGTAATGTTTGTGTATTTATCCAAGCTTTCCCACATGTGTCCACAGGCTGCAATGCCCGTGCTGTGCACCAGACTGATGCCACCCCAAACCAATGGGAGGAAACCGTGGATCGTTTCTGGCAGTACGTTTCTGATATTAACCAAAAGGCTGATGGAGTTGTGGAGGACATCAAGGCCTCCCAGCTCAGCAGGGAGCTAGAGTAAGTGATTTTCTATATGCATTTAGTCCATCCTTAATTCCTCTACTTCCACATGTTGCACTGTGCTTACATCCCTAACATCTGACCTTTCTTTTCTTCTGCTTCCAGCACTCTGATCACTGACACCATGGCAGAGCTGACAACATACAGAGACGACATCCAGACCAAGCTGACCCCCTACACCGATGCCTCCACAGGCCAGCTGTCTCAGGACCTGCAGCTCCTGGCTAACAAACTCCAGAAGGACATGCTGGATGCCAAGGAGCGCAGCACTGAGTATCTAGGCGAGCTCAAGACCATGTTGGAGCAAAACAGCGATGACGTCCGCGCCCGCATCAACTCCTACACCCACAAGCTGAAGAAACGCCTGAACAAGGACACTCAGGAGATTCACGAGTAAGTGGGGTGGAGGCTTTTGCACTTTGACAATTTTTTAAGAATCTCTTGTAATATGAAACCTAACTGTGTCCTTCTTCTTCACTCCCAAGCACCGTGGCCACCTACATGGGTGAGCTCCAGTCCCGCACCTCCCAGAACCTGGAGGCCGCGAGGGAGCAGGTTGAGCCCTACGTCCAGCAGGCCAGTGACAGCGCCACAAAGAAGATTAGCGACATCTCTACCATCCTGAAGACCCAGGCTGAGGGCTTGGGCCAGCAGCTGGAGACTCAGGCTGAGGGCATCAGAAGCCAGCTGGAGGCCACCGCCCAGGACCTGCGCACCTCCCTGGAAGGCAGGATCGATGAGCTGACCGAGATGTTCTCCCCCTATGCCACCAAGATCCGTGAGCAGTTTGAGGGCATCGTGGACAAAGTCAAAGAGACTGCCACTGCCTAGAGAAAGACTGAGGGTTTTCAAAGGGTTGTAGATGGATGTGTAAACCACTGATTTCTTAATACCCTGACAAAGAGGGGAATGGGGGAGTTGAGAATTACAGATGATATCTTTATTTGCGTGCTCCACTGTTCAGGGTAAGGGGGTTAATGAGATGAAGGAGGGAGGATGAGGTGCTGACTGTTAACAGAACATTCAGCAGATAAACATCTGTTAGGTTCTTTCTTCTGCACAGTCACCCTTTCTTCTCTTATCGACTCCTGTCACTGAACACAAGCACCCCAGCCGATAACAACCTTTAATACACAAACAGGAGACAATTATTTGTAATATGCTTCGCTTTTCTACTTTGAAACTTCTAGCTGCCTATCCCCCCAAGTTTTTGTCTTGAGCTTCCTACATTTTGTTTGGTTGTAAATATAACTGCTGAGTTTGAGGTATTCCACCCCTAAATGCACCGAACATCGTCTTTCATTTCAATAAATGCACTGAATTTTTCTCGAGGTGATACTAAACCACTAAAGTGTCCTTCTGTATTGTCTGCATTTCTTGTTGTTCACAGAGAAGTGGAATGTAAAATGACTTGATGCAAGTACGACAAAGAGAGTAAAGTGTAATGCTGCCTGTTTTTCAGTCTGACTATAGAGTGTCCCTTGTGTTCCACATATGCCCACCATGCTGCTCACTGTAAGTGCACTGCCTGTGGCTGCACTGTTCTGACCAGTGCTGAGTGAATAAAGAACCTAGAAAAGATGGAGGTTTCCACTGTTGGTTTCTCTGATGAAACATTGAAGAGTAATCTATTATTTAAGATGAGGTTTAGTTACGCTGACAAGTGGACACTTCACAAAGCAATTGGTGATCCACTATTGTATTTGTAGTCTCTATGGCAGTTTAAATGTAATGTTATATCTAAAATCTCTAGAAGAATGCCTTAAAGGCTTTCACCAATGTACTTCTAATACAACTCCCTACTGCTCTAAACCTGAAAATTCCCCCAATATGTTCTTTTAGTAGTTGTTGCATAACACTACAAGGGATAATTACATAAGCACATGCATCTGAAGCTATTTGCCCCTTTGTGTGTTTGAGCCCCTCAAACATGCACACAGTGATGTGTATTTGCTGAATTGTGACCTAAATGTACTGTTCCGAAGAAATAATTATTCTTAATACTATCATTTGCTCCCTCTCTCTGTACCTGTACTCCACCCCAATCCTCTCCCTTTCCTCTCCTCAAACAGGCGCCACCACCCCACAACCCTTACTTGGACTGTAACTGAACTGTTTTTCTAGTCTGGACTTGTTAAGATCTGTTCCCAGATTCCTTTCTCGTTATCCAGGCATTTGGGAACAAGCTGTGCCCCAGATTGAATTCTCTTTTTGGCCGCACTTTATCTAGGCTCAGATAATATTCATTGCAGCTGTATACATATATTTGTTCAGACATGTCAATAAGAGACATTCACACATACAATGGTGTTTGTAAGCAGTGTGCCCACATTCACATATACAGTACAACATGTGCATCCTGGTGGACTAGTGGTTAAAATATGTATCATTACACGATGTAATGTTTGTTTCTATCAGCGGACCATTTTTTGCACGTCATACCCCTTTCTCTCGCCTTAGGTTTCCTGACGGTCTTTTCACTAAATATTATATATTTACTATTCAATAAATACAAAAATGACCTAAAAAAAAACATTCAACATGGGTCTTTTAAAATAACTATTGTTTTTCTGACATGACTTTTGAACCATTAAGAAACTTATCTGCCCCAAAACAGAAAACCTCATGACACTATAGTGGATTCAGTTACTTTAGATGCAAAGGATGTAAGTCAAAAAATAGAATTTTCAGCTTGGAATACATCTGGACCAGCCTCAGGGGAAAGGGTGGTCATGACTCTCCTAAACTCAGATTTCTTACTCTTCCAATCGAAAGAAGTTTAAATTGTTGTGCTTATTAAACTCAGCAGGATTTTCCCTTTGAAGTGCAGAGCAGAGGCCAGTAGAGGACACCATTTGTCCCTTGTTCATCTCCTCTCCTCTCCTCTGACCCCTTCACTTGAATCCATGCTGCACAGATGCAGCTGTGTTTTCTTTTTTGGAAGATAAAGTAAACTACATTTGCCTCAGAAAGAAACACAAAGTCTGTGAGTTTCAGGAACAGAACACACATTTTCTGTGATCCATTTTACTCAGGGAGTTACTAACTGCTTAAGAATCACTTGGAGGTGTGTGTAATTAATATAAAATTGTGAAATGTGAATTTAAAAAGGTCAGATAAATTTATCACTTGAGAATGTATGTAACATGATTTATGCTTGTGATGTGCCATAATAGCGATTTTATTCATTCATTTTATTTAGTTTAGTTTATCAAAAATCGTCATAATCACCTTTTCTGACCCCAAATTGTTTCTACTGTGTTCTACAGAAATAAAGACCAAATTCACTAAAACATCATCTTCAAAAATGGTGGTTTTGAATATGCAGAGTAATAGATAACTGTACATTGATATGTCTCTGAAAGTCAATTATTTTTTCATTTAACCCGTTTATTTTCTCTATAAAATTAAAAAACATGTTTACCCTTTCTATCTGTGTTAAAGGTTATTGCATGTAAAGTGAAAGAGTGACTAACACCACAACTAGGTGTTTGTCTCCTATGATATCACTCCTTTCAGGAACCAGTGTTTATTTAGAAACCTCCCCTTTAACAGACCAGTGAAACTCCTACATAGGATCGTTGTTATTCAGGATCAGTCATGGATGGTAAAAACAGGAAAACCACAAGCATCCTGCCAGTTCAGCACTTCTGCTCCGTCTGCTCCTATAGGGTGTCTGCCGTCTGAGCACTGCCCAGCAACAAAAAAAGTCCCAGCAAACTATCAGGTGCTAGCTAGCCAATGACTGCTAGTTACCCCTCCAAAACACCCCTGCAGAGATTTTACCTCCTAATACAACCCCCACTCTTCTTTCCATCCTTTCCCTCCCCTTCAGAGCTGGCATACAACACCAGTCACCACAGGGGCCCTTGGCCAAACACAAAAACAGTCTTTTTGTAAGCTTGTTATTGCAAATTGGGAGCACGCAAGGCGTGCACTTTCACGCCCTATGCCTCCTACAATTATTCAAGAGGAGCTTATATGCACGCAAGCACAAGCTTATACATACACCCACCGGCCACCTCATGACAAAAGAGATGGAGATTTAGTCTTTCAGAAATAATGTGTGAGTGCTGAGTCATGTGAAGGCTCATTTAACTCAATTGTATTCTATTCATCATAGTGATAGCACCTTATAGGCCAAGTCATCGGCAATAAACAGGCATTTGGCCCTTTGCAGCAGACTGCTTGGTGTGAAAACAGATATGTTAAGCAGTGACGAAGCCTTTAAACAGTCAGACAGACTTCCTGCCTCTAACTCAGGTCACAGTTGTAATGAGGGTTACTGCAGTTCACTGTACTGTTTCTGTTGCATGCTAATGTACAAGATGGACCACATAAGGCTTTGTCTGACTCACTTCCCTTTTGAGAAAGGGAAGGTCTGGATAACAGAGACATGAAACGGAAAAACACACCAAAAAAGAGTAGGACATTGCAGAAAAGCAGTCTGCTTTTGAGAGTGTTAGTTATCAGTGACTTATGCCCCATAACCAAAATACACATGGCACCATTTAGAAATGTAGGTCTGAGGGATGAGTGAGTGAAAATATTTATTCAGCAGACTTGGCCAAAAGAAAAAGGAATTAATATGCATGATTAAAAGACAGTAGTGTAAAGTAGACATACATTTACTTAAGTAAAATTTTTTTTACGTGAGAATTTTAAATTAATGCTAATTTATACAACAGGAAATATTGTTCTTTTTACTCCACTACATTTATTTTACAGCCATAGTTACTTGCACAGGATACAAAAATATGTTCATCTTAGTGAATTGTTATATCTTAAACTACCCAGCACTAAAGACAGTTAAAATTAGCTCAACTTGAACTAAATACAATATATAAGCATCACTTTCATGTTTATACACCCATCAGCCATAACATTAGGACCACCTTGGCTCCCTGGTGGTCCTAATGTTATGCAGCCCCATACCAATAAATTGCGATGCACTGTGTTTTCTGACACCTTTCTATCAGAACCAGCATTAACTGTTTCAGCAGTTTGAGCTACAGTAGCTCGCCTTCACTCCCCACGTGCATCAATGAGGCTTGGTCACATATAAGCCCGTCGAGACCACTGCAGACTGGGAAAACCCCACAGGAACTCCAGTTTTGGAGATACTCTGACCCAGTCATCTAGCCATCACAATTCGGCCCTGGTCAAAGTTGCACAAATCCTCACGTTTTTTCTTGCTTTTAACACATCAACTTGAGGACAAAATGTTCACTTGTTGCCTAAAATATCCCACCCACTGACAGGTGCCGTGATAACCAGATAATCACTGTTATTCACTTCACCAGTCAGTGGTCATAATGTTATGGCTGATTTGTATATGTCAATAATAACACTGACACTGGCCATTTTGCATAATGACTACGTTCACTTTTGCTTTAAATTTTGAATGCAGGATATTTATTTGTATTGGAGTGCTTTCATAGTGTGGATACTTTAATGTACGTAAAGGATCTGAATATTTCTTGCAACACTGCAAAATATGTAAAATATCAGCATCAAAACATAACAAATAAGGACATGGAAGTGATAAAAACAAATGTACTTTTATGAGGAATCTACATGATGTGAAGAATGTGCATCATGCTAACAAATTAACTACTTGAATTTATTCCTGTAACAGTCCAATTACTTGATTTTAGTACCAATAAACCAATAAATACATTATCAACAGATGTAAGGCTGTCTGACACCACAGGGTCTAAACATGCTTGGCCAACACATCAGGTCCAAAGGAGCTTCCAAATTTATTTTGTTATCAGTGCTGAACTATGTTCCTTCTACATCACATTTCACCGTATCTGTCAACACCATTGTTGCTGAGGACTAAACTCTAAATCTTTTAAAGAGTGGAACCCCTAACATCATCTCCAGGCTGTGACCTGTTCAATAACTGATATTAATATGAGCCATCTGCTCCTGTTTATTCACATCCTCTTGTGAACATGTGAATGCTAATCAGATACTGTGCACAGCGTGGATGATGACTTTTTTTCCTTTAGATTCACCTCATCAGCCTGCTGCATTATCAACCATTCTCACAACATAATGCAATTAGATACGTGACTTATTTCTTCAGGGGAGGGGGCTCACAATCAGTATCAATATCTTTTTATGCAATCACATCGGTGCTGGTCAATAAAGGGGGCAGTGACACCGCAAGGTCACCACGTGTACATGTTGACTTAATTCTGCCGTTTTGCGTCACCCTCCTGGACCCGAGCAGGCTTATAAAGAGGAACACACATCAGCACTCTAACACACTCGATTTTTTTTCTCCTCTCAGACGGAAAGCAGGTATGTTTTACATTTCATTTGCATCACTCCTAGAACTGAAAAAAAAAGTATTTGTTACTTTCTTAACAATGGGAAGCCGGCGCTGAAACTAAATAACAAAGAAAGGGCATCAAATAATCCTCAAGTTCTGGATTCATCCAAAAGTTTTGCTTTAAGCTGAGATGATTTATGTCTTAATTCTGATATTTGCGTGTTTGAAATTCAAGCACATAGACAGCTGGAAATGATCAGCAGTTAGTTATTAGATTGTCAGGAGCGCAATGGCCGTAAAGGGAGCTGTCCAGTCGCTGTGGTGCTGACGGACGGGGGCGCTATTCTTAAAGAGAAAAAACAAAAACATGTAGGCCATTGCTCTCTCCTTTTTAATTTAACGTAAATAAACAGCCACTTGTCCTTCCTCTGCAGAGACTCAAAGCCAAGATGAGACTGTACCTCGCCGTTGCCGTGTTGCTGCTGGCTCTTGTGGCATACACAGGTAAGTCAGGTGTATTAACGACGCGCTCAGAAACGTCCCCGCTACGTTTCTCCCTCACATGTTGTGTAACTTTCCTCTGTCCACCTCTCACCTGCAGAGGCTCAGGAAGACACTGTCGAGCGGAGGTTCGCTGAGTTTGGCAACCAGATGACTGAGATGGGCAAAAACCTGGCTGAGAAGGCCAAGACTACCCTTGATCAGATTCGAGACAGCGAGTTTGCAGTCAACTCAAGGTAGGCGCGCGCACACTTCACATAATAAAGCACACGCTCAGATGTTCACGTGCACGCTTTGGATGTGTGTAACGCGGTTTTGTGCTCCTCCACAGGAACTGGTTTAACGATCAGTTTGAGAAGCTGAAGACCAAGTTTGGGGATTCGCCCCAGTAGAGAAGTTAAGTAGACAGGTCTCTGTCTCCAGCCTCCAACCTGCCCTCCGACCCCCACTTCTGACCTCTGACCCCTTCACTCTCTCCTGTTGGGACGCTGATATGTCACATGACACGTTGCTCTGCTGACTGACGTTTTTTATGTAAAGACATCAAAAATAAAAAATGTTTTTTTATATATAAATCCTGTGTTACAATCAGTGTTTCTCAATGTAAAGGAAAGAACATCTTAGTGTACTGAAGTGAAAGTGGAGTCTGTTTGATATCAATAAATGAACAGTTCTGGTCTATGACAGTATGGACTCTATATTTTACATAAATCTAACCCTAACCCTATTCCTTCCTGTTTTTAAATCTATGACTGAGTTCTAAAATCATGTTAAAATTTATAAAAAGTGAAAAAAACAAAACAATTGCAGGTTGTTTTTTTCTCAGTTTAGTTATAAAGTATATATATAATAATTATATATATATATATATATATATATTTTAAGTCATGAGACAAAGGAAAGCGAGATGAACTCAGCCCTATGACAGATTTATTCATGTCTTTTGCTTTGCATTAAACACCCATTGTCTTAAATTAATACATATTTACATATGTAATCATATTTACAAGACACAAGCAGTCAGAATCAGAATGAGGTTAATTGCTTTATTTAAGTTTTCACATACAAGGAATTTAAATACCAAATTCTGGTGCATAACAGCCAAAATAAATATATTAAGAACCAGAAACAACAACAAAAAGTAAATACTGCAAGCCAAGTTAAAAAATAAAGAATTCCAATAAGATTTAAAAGAGCTGTACAGTTTTTCAAACAAAGAATTAGCTTAAACAATTATCAAATTGGGTAAAAATCTAATATAAGGTCAATATAAAAACGGTTGGAGCTGGACTATTAAAAGATTAAAAGAAGTCTTGGCTCAATTCAGACAGAAACACAAATTCCAAACTTGCACTTCATTTAAATATGTCTAAATATGTATAGTTGCATTAAACCCAGGTGCCTCTGTGTTACATTGCACTAAAACCCTAATCATGACATGTATAATGAAGTCCCATGTTAATGAGGTTTTTTTCTTCTTTTTTAAGAACAGTACTTCTCGAAAAAGAGCAGACATTTCAATAAAAAATACCATGAATCCCTGTAATGTGAAAACATTCCAAACCAACTGATCACAATGTGATTGAATTGACACTATGATCAAAAGATTAATTTATGCTATGGTCATTTTCATATGAATGGGCACTAAAGCTGATATCAGAGAATAGCCAGCATTATCTGGTCGACGGTAGTTTATTTGTGTTAATAGTTCGTACCAAAGGGCAACTGCCAACATGGCTGATTTTCTGGCATTTCACAACTCCTGGGCTAAAGTCACTGTTTATGTTTGGTTAATAATCCACCAGTTGTCCCAGTTCATTGAGATCAGTTCCTGTGAAGAGAACAGGGTGACAGAGGTCAGCAGCTGGTGCACAGAGGTCACAGATTGCAATTCTTAAACTAATCACTTTCACTTTGATTTGTTAAAGATGTCAAGTAAACTGCTACTTCTCCATCAGTCACTGAGCACATCCTTTTCAGCTGTTCCTTAGAGTACATTGTACATGTTAAGAAATGTTTTCTGTGCTTCAGCTGTTGGATTTGGAGGACTATCTACTTTTGTGATGTTACTAAACTAAAAAGCAAACTTAATCCTTAAATGAATGATGTTAAATTATTCTTGTCTGCAACTACTCCTAACTAAAAGCCATCACAAAGCTCTGAAATGAAGGGGCACTATCATTTTCAAGATTTATACACTATACAGTATATGCAAAACATACTGTATTCACTACATCTGAACCTTTAACACTCTTGTTTTCAAATCAAAATGTTATACCTACATACTTGGATTTAACACACACACACACACACACACACACACACACACACACACACACACACACACACACACACACACACACACACACAGTAAGAGACACACATCTTTAACACAGTACAGATGTTTAAAACCCAACACACAATTTAAAAACAAGGACAAATCTTGATCCCATCTGTTTAGACAGCTGTGAGATCAGGTTTGTAAGTGCAACATAGTTATGAACTCTAATTTCAACATGTGTTGAATTGTTCCCATTGAGAATGTGTACTGACAAGATTAAATTGATTTTGTGGTGGACTCTGCCCACAGAAATGCTTTGCTTGCCTGAAAATGTTTATCTATCTTTCACCCGCCTCCGGTCTTCACTAAAACCCATATCTCTCCTGCAAGAACAGAGACTTTGACTAACCTGTATACATATCAGCCCCGCCAAATGGGTCGAGATATCTGATCCAAAGGGCGCTCGGACAGTTACTGAACTCAGCTAATGTTGATCTTGAAAAGATATCAAGAGTTCAGTATCCGCAGATCGAAAAAGTAATGTGTTTTAACTTGTATACCAACACTAACAATGTAATCCAGCTGACAATTAACAGGGAAAAGAAAAACAAATCACATTACTATCCGTTATAGATGAAACCATCACCAACTCTCATGTGACTCAAATGAAGATCACATTTCATATTAGGAGAATTTTTGCCTTTAATTTCTGTCTTTCAAATTTAATAAAAGAAAAACTAAACCTAATCTTTCTAAATGCTTGTTACTTGATTTGTTTGTGCATTTTCAGTGTGCATGTGTGTATTTTTCATTTGTGAGAATGTCAAAAAACTCTAGAAAGTAGACCCATACTTTGTGTTTGTCAGCAAAATGTTAATCAATCACCTGTTGTTTTGCCGTCTCTCACATTTTCCTCCATAAAGCGAAAAAAAACAACACGATGAATGATCACCCGATCTGGACCAATGTACATGCTGTTGAGGTCACCTAATACAAATAAAATGGCTCGATAACACTTGTTTCATTCAACTTCTGTTGACCAGAGCCGGAGGAAAAGGTAAAATATCATTTGAATATGCGTGTTGTGATGTTAATAAACCTGTGGTCAAATTTAGTTTTGAAATCTGTGATTTATTTATGTTATGGTGATTTTATTGCTGAAAAGGGACAGAGTTGAAAGAAAACAATATTCTGTAACATAATGTGCTGAGAATACGGTAGGTTGTAGTTGTGGCGTCTAATGTGAAGTGCAAATGGATTACGATGACAGACAATTTCTTCATTATAAAAATAATATTATGACGAATAAACTGCTGATGGTTCTGTTTCTCTCCTCTCCTCCTACTTCTCTCGTTGTGGCAGATGCATATGAAGGAGCTTGTTTTCTGTCTTATCTTACTAATGCAAGGTATGCCTTTAAACAGACTACATCTTCAGTCTCCTTGTCTTTATTTCTGAGCTTGAATGAAATGACAAACATCCTCTCCTGCAGCATCTGGCCCACTTTTGGCCCAGACACAGGCCCCAGAACAACCTGACGCTCCAGGAATACTGCAGAGGCTGACAGAGAAAGCAAGGTATTTCCACAAGCACTCATCATCCACTTGCAGATCATTAATGCAAGCAAGTGGCACTTTTCTGTGAATGACTGCCAGTTATCAGAATTGTAAGAAAAAAAAATTTTGGTACACATTGAGTGATTGTGTGTGCTTTTTAGAGCTACCTTGGTACTCATTTGTGTACTTTTGAACCTCATAGAGAAGCCAAAGCTAAAGTCCAGGATTATGGGGGTGCAGCTCTGGGCTTTCTTGGTTCTTATTACGAAGACCACATCCAACCAGTGACTGACAGATACACCGAATGGGCCACTAGTGTCAAAAGCTCTGTGTGGGAGAAGATCCAGACTTACGTGCCATCGAAGGCCCCTCAAAATTAAAGAAAAGCTGACAATAAATTAATATTCTTACCACATGACATGTCTACGATTCTTACTACTCACGGTTGAACTGATCATATTTAATGGTTTCATGGGACTTGCTGGTTATGTAAAATAAAGAAAGAATGTAACTAATTTATAAGAAAACCCCACATTCACTTAAAAACATCTGGTTTCTTTTTTATAGTAGAGGTTTCTGTATGACCCCTGCTTGTCCTGCAAGACGGCAAAGAGAGAGGTAAAGATGCAATGAATTAAATAATGTGACCAGGAGGTAAATTTGCATACATTCAATACATAATATGATTTATTTATAAAATGTACAAGCGTAATGTGCAGTTTCTTAGTATAAAAATGCACTTTTGCCACAGGTGATATTTCCCTGTAAATACATTTAATGAGTTATATTCAGTTCTGCTATTGAAAAAATAAATGTTGCTATTTTTAGTGACCAACATTCTGAAAATGATCATTTATCATACTGTCTCAGGGTATCAGGGTGAAAGGTGAAAGAAATCCCAGCATGCATTGCTCTTGGTCAGCAGTGTGTCTAGACAGGTTCTGGTTGAGTGGCCTTTTGACTATTTGACTGTGATATGAGCAGACATTATAAAGTGATTCTGAATGGCTGTCAAATAAATGCTGATTAGTAGGAGTTAATCTACTTAACAGTATCTTTCAGCAGGTAACAACACACTTTAAACTGCTTTCAAAGTTTTGTTTGCCATACAAGACGTGACGATTATGACACAGTACATGCGCTATGACATTTTGCACACCACTTATGCAGTATCAGGAGGGATCCAAGTGCATCGCCATATGACTAAAGATAAATTTACATCTGAGGAACATTGCATAACCACACATATTTCAACATACAGTATTTAAAGTGAATATCATGTACACTGGACTTTGTTTAGGTGAACATGTGTATGTGTGTGTGTGAGTGTGCATGTCCATGCACGTGTGTGTGTGTGTGTGTGTGTGTGTGTGTGTGTGTGTGTGTGTGTGTGTGTGTGTGTGTGTGTGTGTGTGTGTGTGTGTGTGTGTGTGTGTGAGTGAGTGTGTAGGTGTGTGTATGCTCATCAGATGACGTTTGTTTGCAGTCCCCCCCTATATCATCCAGGCCAGATGTGAGCTCCGAGTTACAGACAACTCGCCTCCAGAGAAGACTGTCACTTCTTGGATCTGTACATCCAACTCAACAGCAGGTAATCACTCGTCTTCATGCAGCAGCTTCTCTTTTGAAGCTACTTCTGAATAGATCTAATTTATAAAACTTTGAGGTAATTTATTTTTGTATTAAACGTCTGCAGTTTTATAAACTTATTCATCATCTGCTAATTTTAAAATGTCAGCCATGGAAAGAAACATTGTTTCACCAACAGAGAGTTCAATTTTAAGATTTTTCTTTTTTTTTTCTTTTGTTTCAGACATGAATGCAAAATACGTCCTGGCACTGATCCTCGCTCTGCAGGGTAAGGCAACACAGCAGTGCAATTTGAACAACTGCGGTGCTTCGATTTGATTTTCAACTAAAGCTGAACTACTATGTGACAGAGAGCCATCTGTAACAAATAACTTTCAATGCAAATGCTATTCACTTTTCAGACTTTCTGCATTCCATTTTGTAGAGATTATAAAAATTATGTTTTTATTGCACTTACATGTGTAGCAATAATTTAATGGACATGGTTGCATGACTGGCTTTTACACTACTTTATCTGTGGTTAACATGAAAGATAAAGACTGATTTTGAAATAACAGTGAGCTGCGGTGGCAGAAATATGATTTTGGACACAAGTACTGTACTATGAGTGAGAAACCAAGATATGCAATATATGATCATTTTTACTTATTCTCATTCTAACATAACAATCCTACCTTTCTGATTTCATTCCAGTCTCTGTGAGCCTGTGTGAAATTCCTGATCCACCTCAGGATCTTGTTGAAAAGTATGATCAAATGAAAACCGTGTTCTACAAGAGGCTGCTGAATGCTTATGGCAAGCTGCAGGCCGCCGCCGCTCCTTTGGTGGAGAGGGTTGGTGACAGTGAGCAAGGTCAGGCTGCCAAAGACTACATCGAGGAACTGCAAACCAAGCCTGAGTTCCAAGCCGTCGTCAAGGTTGCCACGTGAGTGAAGACCCTGTATTGGTTCATTGTCTAATGTTAAGAAATGTGTCCACTTCAACTACAAATTTGCTGTGAAATACTACCAATGTATATCTATATCTTACAATTTCCACTGAAGATATAATGTACACAGAAAAACAAAATGAGGTGATATTTTTACCATGGTTATGTAGTATGTATGGCTATTAAATAATCTGTCTCCCCTGATTTGTGCAGTGGCCTGGGTCAGGAGGCAGCTCCCCTGGTGGACAAGGCCCGCACAACAGTGCTGGGTCTGTACGGACACTACATCCGCCCCCAAGTTGGCAACTACCTGAGCGACGCCATTGACAACATCAAGGTGTACCTGGACAAATTCATGCCCGCTGAGTAAAGGAGACCAACTGAAACAAAACACCTGTCAACAGCCTGTAATAGATGATAGCTCATAGAAACTACACCAGTTTAGGCTGAGAAGAGCAATGCACAATGCAAATACAATCCTTTGCCTCTTTTCAAATCAACATCCTTGCCAAATCGTGCAGAGTTAAAAGCAGGGCAAACATGTCAACATCAACTATGCAAATTGTGCATGTACAGTATTTTGTGTTTGGTACACTAACCAAAGTGTGATTGTGTATGTATATGTGTGAGTGTGTTCATTAAAATGAACTGGAAACTACTTGAGATGTGTTTCTTCATTAACAGATTGAACATGAGCTTCCACAGTTAATATAATAAAGCTTAATTTTCTGGCATAAGTTTTCCTATCATATTAATTTGTGAGCAGATTCCAGTTCCAGAATCCACTAATCAATGTGTTATATGGTTCTAGTTTTTATTAAGCTAAGTAATAAATAAATACAATTAAAATACAAGAACATCATCCAATGTTCCAATCCAATTAAACCTTATGGAATTGTTTGGTTTTATCAGCTGCTACCTTGATAAAATTGAACTGTAACTGAAATGCTTTACACTGGTAAACACAGACACAGACATTAATTGTTCTCATATTTTTAACAAGTATATTTTGACATCTTTACTTTGAACAGAGCTCTTGGGTCTCAGGCTCATGTTGGGCCCAGTAAATCAAACTTTGTTCCCAGAATGATGAAAGATTAAACCAGCAACCTTTATATTCTGAAATTATTAATGTGTCTCACTAATCAAAGCTCAAAACCACACGGATCATCCCTCCATTACTTACTTGAAATGAAGGTGTTGAAGCCAATTTATCAATGTTGCACTGTTACACTGATCTCAAAGAATTAGAACTTACTAAAGTATTTCCTTTATTTAGTATTTACAGATTTCCAGTTGGCTAAGCCTGGGGTAACTTTGAATGATGGCATGTTGTGCCAGAGCAGCAGGAGGTACTAATTCTTAATTTGTTGCTCATTTCTTTTCAAACATTTCCAAGCATTTTGATTACATATACAACCACCCCTGCTGTATAATTACAGTGGTCAAGACACAAAGAAAACAGAGAAAACAACTGATAAACATCTCATCATTGTTTCTGTAAGCATTGCCATCGCCATTATGCAGCTTAAGGTCGTCTATAGCAGGGACTAGTCTTTTTAGTACGAAATAAGCTGGATTTATTCAAAACTGCAAACTCTCGTGCAGTTTGAATCCTACTGCTGCCCACAGCTGTCCTCAAACTGAGGACACTGAGGACAGGAAACTGACCTGAGCTCTCGGGTCACAAGCAACATGACATGTGAGGCTGGATCACGTGATTGGCTGCGATATTTACTTAGGACTTGATCAACATGTAGCCATTACGGAGAAAATGGATTCTAAAACACATGAGAACAAAACAGAGACTTTATTATACCTCTTTGTAGTTATACACAACACCCAGGTAGGTTTAAAGTGAATAAACTCATTGTGCTGAAGTTTGATTATTAATAGATACAGTTATGTTATGAAGGTTATTTTTTTCTTTTCACAAAGAATGGTTCACTTTAGCCCCAAAACAAACAAATTGTGTACATATGATCTGCCAAGGCAAGAAAACAAGCATTTTCACTTATTAACAAAAGCCACAATATTAACCATCAGATTACCGGTAAAACCAAAAGGTAAAAAGAAGCTAAAACGACAAAATCATTAAGATTAAACAAATTAATAAAATGATCAAATGTATTATTTTGGATAGGCTTTCAAAGGGTTAGTGTTATCCTAATACGACAAAAATGAGAACACCACAAGAAAAACTGAAAATAAACTAAATCAAACGATCTGCACTTTTTACCTCATTTCAAATCAAATCACATAAAGGAGAAAAAAAACTTTTATTTTTTCTTCTGCCAGAAAATCCGGTGCTGAAATAGTTGTTTCTCCATTTCTGATAAATAACCAACTGATGAACAGAAGTTGTTTTACACACAGAAGAAAGTAAAAGAGGTTACATTTCTCCCCCCAAAACATAAAAAAATAACCCCAAATGAACTTTCATAAGAAAGTGCGGGAAGGTTAACTGCGGCCCAATAAATCTAATCTTAGCTGGCCAAAATATTTCGTAACCTGAATCAGCTAGATGACGTGTTCAACACACTCTAGACTTATCACCATCTTAATAGGACTTTGTTCACAATTTGGACTATTGTGATGTGACATGAATGCATCACCACCATTATGCAAGTAACAAGTGCCTCCTTGTAGAGTTTGTGAACAGGGCAAGGTGTAAGACTGTGCTGCAATAATGAACTACTAACCTAATCAATGGAAAATAATTGATTGTGGTGTATTTAGTAGAGTTAGGGTCACACACACACACACACACACACACAGGGTCACACAACACACATGTTGATGCATTTCCATCACAGTTATTGGGATGCATCAACATGAGGCATCCTTGAGTTCCCGTGCTTTTAAAATCAAACCAGACTAAATTCCAAAGTGGCTTTTGATTACGTTTGAAGGCTCCTTTGATGATTTATTCACAACCTCCTGTTTACACAGATAGCCATGATGTGTGTTTTATCAAGACACAATGTCACACATACTCCCACAAACACACACCGGACAACAGCACAGGTTTATCTACCACAGAGTGCACTTTGGCTCTGGGAGCGACAAGTCAACACATCGCTCCTATATAAACAGGTTGGGCCAGCGGTGCCTCTTACTCAGTTTTCTTCATCACAGTCATTCCTGGAGAGGAATACAGTGAGTACTGACACTTTTACTTCAATTGTTGAATGGCATAGAGTCAGAACAGTCTTAGAAGTGCATGAATGTTGTGTTAGATATGAGACTATTTGAAAGAAAATTATTATTCTGAGACATGTTCAACAGAATGGCAAGTAAGAAAGGTATGACAATGTCTCACCCTAGTGGATAAAGTGAGGTAAGTTTTAATTGTTGCTTAATTCTCTCTCCTCACAGACGGGAGTAACACAATGAATAAGCTGCTGGTCATTACTGTGCTTGTTGCATTCCTTGCTCTCAGTAAGTCCTCATGACCATTACATTGAATTATTACTATAATAGGATAAATCGTTGATGGTAATATACATTGTTTTCCTGATGTAATACCCCTTTGACCCCTCTAACCTGTTCTGTGAAGGCGCTGAAAGCTTCCGCGTGCCGAGGCAGGCTGAAGATGAAGAGGGGACCCTGGCCAAGATCACGGGTACCTTCAGGTCCTACTATGACGGTGCTGTCAACACTGCGAGTGGATACCTGGAAAGCATTAAGGGCCTGAAGCTGGAGGAGAAAGCAAAGTAAGAGATTTTTTAAATGCAGATTCATTGATCCAGTAAAAAAAGAAAAAAATAGTGTGGATTTATATTTAAACTCTTTCTGTGTGTTTTCCACAGGAATCTTTACACTGATACTACCACAGTTGTGAGCACCTACGCTGGCATTCTGAACGACCAGATTTACCACATCTTTTACTCCCCGCAGTAAACAAAAACTGATTTCCAATTACCTCAGCTACCTTTTCTGACAGAGTAAGAACTTTCAAGCTCCACACGAAAGGCCCAAACGTCATTTGACATTGTGAACTCAGTCGTATCTCACCACAACCAAGCCTCAAAGCCTCAAACAGCATCCTCAAAAATACTGGACCCAGAGCTCCTTGCGACGCTTTCTCGGACCACCACACTGGTGGTAAATGATGATAACCACCCAAAGGGGACTGTAATCCTTTGAAAAAAAAACAACAACTAACAGCTTACACAGAGGAACTGGACAGAACAACTTGGCGGGCGCAAGCAAAAGAGCACACAGCACCTTATCGTGTACCAATATTTTTCTCCATGGGTCTCAGAATTAGAAAAGCCATGAAAATAATGCAAATATTAATGATCTCACATCACCTACTGGTGTTTTTTGTTTTCTCACAGCTGACTCAAATGGTCATCACACCTCTGGATAAATTTAAATATGTGTGTCATATCTTGAAATAAAATATTTATACAAAAAAAAAAAACATCTGTGGTTGATAAATGAGAGTTTAGTTTACTGTTTGATTTAGTAAATCGTGCATATTTCCCCTGTTTGTGTAAGACCTGTGTTTCTTTTGATCTCACTGAAGGATCACGTGTTTATGTCTGCATGAATCTGTGATGAGGCACCAGACTTTTATCAGCTGAGGCAGTACCAGAACAGAGGCTTCTGTTGCAATTAATAATGGATGAAAAGAAACATGCAAAATGTGAGTGCAGAGAGAACGACGCAGATGAATAACAACAAAGACTGTGAAGTTTGTTTTATGAATTCTGACATCCAGTGATGCAAGAATTTTGTGATTTTTAATTAATGCATAAATCTACAACATGTGGCCTCTTCTCGAGCAAACAACCAACACAAACAAAAGAGATACATTTGCTTTCAAGTATCATCTTGTTTAGTCGTTACAAAAGATGCAAACTAAACCAGACAGACACAGGACAAGCTATTCATTTGTGTGGGACTATGGTATTCCAATACTTCTGAGATAAAACACAACTGCCACTACTGTTACTATGCAACTACTAAAGTTATACAGACAAATCATTTAGATACCAGTGCAACATGTAGAATCTGTTTGCAGCCCTGTTGTCTGTCCAGATTGGATCAGTTTGAGAAATAACTATTTGGTATCAGAATTTGTCTCAGATGTTTTCTCTCAACTGACTGTGCTGTGATTAGTTTTGGCTTCTACACTAATGCAATTCATCACACAGCAATAGAGGAGGACTACACTGGTGATCAAAACCTATTGTGTCCCCGATTCTTTTTTTTTTTTTTTTGTCAATTGGATTCCAATCTTTGATTTGGGTGCATTTGCATCTTTATCTAGAGCTGTCCAGTTATCAGAAAGAAGCTTGACTTATGATGACCTGTCTTTTTCATTTTATAGAAGCGATAATTTACAAACTATATTAACTCAGATTTTCTACAATACGGCATTGGAGGACACAGTGGACCCTGCAAATGCCACTAGGAGCACTAGGAGGAGCCAGAGGAACCAGGAACAGATTATCTGTCTCATTTACTACTGTTGGAATATAGTACAGCAAATATGACAAAACACTATTTCTATAAAAGTTACCTACTGCAGCTTTAACCAATATATAGGAACTGAATCAATAGCTGTGTATGACTGGATCAATAAAAACAGTACGATTTTAAACTAATCTAAATTTAAATCAATGATTATTGGAAACTAGAGATGATGTAAAAGTCCCCAGTTCTGCATTTCTATACAAGGCTTCAGGATGGATCAAATTAATCAGATTCAATTATTAGGTGTTACACTTAAGCAATATCTGTCCAGGTAACTGCATATTGACAATATTTTTAAGAAAATGCTACAGGGAATTGATAGCAGAAGCAAATGTTCTCCTCTAATCAAGTATAATTAGTTAATTAATGTTGCTGAATACTGTTCAGTTATATCATCTGCTGCTAATAAAAAGGATCTCAATAAACTTCAATTAGCAGTCTGCTTGTTTTGATGATTAAGGGAATATTTTTTAGGTATACCTGAATGTTTTTCAGCTCTATTTGAGTAGTCTGGTGGTTATTCACACACATATCCCACCCAGTATGTGGATAAATGACAACTAGTCATCCAATTTGAAACATGTAGGGCTGTAGGAACAAGTTACCAAGCAGTATTAGATAAAGTATTTTAAGAAACAAAGGCATGTGCCTAAAGCAGACTATGACCGAATCACGTTTTTCTATCTCTTGTAATCTTAGTTTTCATGGATATTACGATTGCTGTGCTTAAATGTAGCTGTAATTTTGTAATCATCAGCTTTGTTTTAATTTTGTTTATATCATATGTGGTACTTTAGTGGCAGACTCAGGCTGTTTGAGGGGCAGGGCCAATAAAAACAAAACGTGCATGTAACACACAGAAAGTTGTGATGCATTTAAAATGACATTTTAGTCAGGATTAGGATTAGCACCCTAGAGGGAACATTATTGTGTTTTGTCCACTGGAAGGGCACCCAAGAGGGATAAATCATGATTTATCTACCACAGAGGCATCCAAGAGGGTGCTTTTTTTTTCCGAATATGGGGCATCAGTGGGGTTGATTACCCCACCTCCCCCCTCCCTGAGTTCATCAGTGTTTTGTACCATTTATTGATATAATTGATAGTTTTGTGTCAATATTGATTTGGTTGTATCGTATTAAGTGCTTTGTTTTATCTATTTTTTTTTCTTTAGGTGTTGGGTTTTAGATCATATTAATGTTTTATTTGGATGTCTTTTCATGTGTGTACCCAGGAAGATTACTAACAGCTATGGCAGAAGCAAAAGGCGATCCAACAAAATAAACAAACCATATAAAAAACTGAGAACCGAGGAAGGAAATAATATGCAAAACACGAATCATTCCTGATGTTCTGCAGTTGTTTGGGGTCAGCTTCATTTTTTAGTCTTTAGTCTTTTAGTCAGAAGTGTTCACAAAGTATACAATCATATGAGAATTTAATTAGTTAACCAAGTTGTTCCTTAGCCCGAGTAACACAATTTGTACTTCAATCAGTGAACCTTGGAACAAAAAATAATTAAAAAGTTATTATTTATCAACAGACAAAAAAAATTTCAATCTTTTCTACAGACTCAAAAAGGAAGATAATATTATTAGCAAATATTCTGCTTTCCCTAAAGGGCAGCTGCAGTATTTTAAGATAACCCTGCAAAAATTGCATCATGGTAAAATATTTACTTTATAAACAGCACTGGGCATAATATCTCCACTCTTATCTCTCTGATTATTACTTACTTGCTGTGCTACACAAGCTTTATTCATTTATCTATGACACCATTGTTCTTTTTAGAGGGCACTTAGCACAGACTAACCATAAAAAATGGTTTTAATATAGCCCACTGAGGCAAAAGAATCTGTGCACAGTAGATTTTTGCTGATCTTCCATCTATGAAGAAGACATAAACTTCACCAAAACACAAAAACTGTAAGTGGAATCTATTAACGTCTGAACAACATCATTCATCGTACCGTAAATGAGGGTCTTCCTTGTTCCCAGTAAAGGAACAAAAGGTTACTGTAAACAAGGTGTGTCACTCTAACTGATTGTACTGTGGAGTGGAGATGTTGAAATTTTCTCTGATAAGGTTATTACAAAGGTTACTGAACTGGAAATGATGCTAGATAGTAATAAAACAGTCTGTTCCACCCACGGTCCGCTAAAAATCTGGCAGGTATAAAGAAGCCAGACTAATCAAATCAGCCATCACACACAATCAGAGCTACAGAAGAACATAACAACAACAACAACAACAGAGATACAGCATGAATTTTCTCCTTCTGCTCATTGCTTTGGGGCTCGCAGGTAGAGATTTACCGTGTTGTGTTCAAAATAAAATTAATTAATATTAGATTAGACATTCAGTTTCTCTTTGGTCTTGTTGGTGCATTACAGGAGCGTCCCCCCTGGAGGACTACAGGGTGTGCCAGCCTCACTCCAGACCCTGGCAGGTCTATCTGCATGGTGGAGGAGTGTCCTGCAGTGGAGCTCTCATTAACGAATGGTGGATAGTAACTTCCTTTCACTGTACACCCACGTAGGTATTGCTGACTGTTAGTGCCAAATGAAAACGGCTGCTGTTACGTTTTGAAGTTAAAGGCATCGTGCTTTGTGTCTTCCAATGTGAATGTCATTCTCGTAAAAGCCATTCAAAACATTTGATGGAAATGGGTTTTGGTTAAGCAATATTTTCATCAGCACCACAATTTAATGTACATACGATTTCCCATAAATATAAGTAAAATCATGTTTAGCCTTGGGAAAACATGGCTGAGGTGCTTGAAATAGTCTGCTTTGCTAGAATCAAACCACATACTTTTCAATGGCATTTGTTTTACCTTTAATTCAATTGCTGCAGTCTTTACAGCATGACCTTCAGTCTTCAGCTCTTCCAGTGTCTCGCACATTTTTCCTGAAGAAATTAAAAAGCAGAAGGTTTTTTTTACTTTTGCTTCCCTCATAAACATGATTCATGAATAGGTTTTTTTTTTTTCTTCACATTTTTCAGATCTAAAGAGGTGGCATTGGGTGGCAACTGCCAAGCCTAAAGAAAAGCCTGGCCAACCTTAGCAGCCACCATAGTTTTGTATCAAATGCTGTCAGCACATTATGATTAGATTCATTTAAAAAAATAACATTAAAAATGTATTCATTTTAGACTTAGTGATAATAATAATTATATGTAATAATAATAATAATTATATGTTTTTAAGTTAAAATATCTTCAGAATATATTTGTGCCATCCCTTAAAGCCTCCCTTGCCACCCCATGAATATTTCTCTAGATCTACCCCAGCCATTTTGTAGCAGCAACCATGCTGTGCTAATACATCTTAAATCAACATAATATATCATTATAATCTGACGAGTCAATCAGGTAGGCATGCAGAGATGTGTCTTAGAATTTAGCTTTGTAATAATGTTGTTCATGGCGTTAGAGCGGGTTGATACTGTTGGCAGAACCACAGTAATGTTCCTCCTTAATTAAACCACATTCATTAACCTGCTGTTCGTGTCTGATTAAGGCTTATTGTTCCTCGGTCATGGGCCTGTTTCTGCCTGAGGCCTGAAAAGTCTGCCTGAGCTTAATAAATTAAAGTCTCTCTTTCCCTGTCCTTGTAGATCCTACAGCACCATTGCATCTCTTGGGGAACATGACATTACTGTAGAGGAGGGA